AAGTTCCACATTAGATCACTTCTTGTTTACTTATTTTCAATTCAGCCAGTGTATATCTATTTGTAATAGTTCTCTCTCTATCTCTATTTCTCTCAGCAACATCACTCCTTCTCTCTGACTCTCTCACTTCAATTCCCTATCTCAATCTCTTTTCTCCAACTCTCTTCCCTAACTGTCTGTCTAACTGTCCTCTTGGTTCCGCCCCTCCTGTCCTCTCATAGGCCCCTCCCCTTGAGCTTCCAATGATGGACAGGCATGACGGGGGGGCTCCGCTACAATGACCATCCACAAGTGTTTTTGGCAGAGCATGTAAACACTAGGCCACTCTTTGCTGGGAAGATGGCTAATACTTACCAAAACAACTGAAATGAAGAATTCTTGTTGCTTGTCAGCACACTTTTTGATTTATCGTTATTAAAACATGATTTCAAAATATTTTCATCCAGTTCCTGATTATCTAAACAGTTAATTGTTTATCTAAACAGATTCCGATTATCTAAACAGATAATCAGTAAAGAGGTTAAATGGATTATAAGGAAGGAGGTTAAACAGACTGGACAGGATCCCAAAGAGTTTCAGTACACTCAATTTGGAAATATTGTATTTGGCTACTTCCCACTCATCTCTGCAAAGGGCCCCATGAACACTCAGGGGACCCTTTGCAGACATAGGTGGGTGGGGAATAACCAACTTCCCAGTAAATGTTGAGCATGTCCTTAGGGAGTCAGCTGGTTGGCTCAGTGGGTTAGCTATCTGGCTGTGGAATCAGAGGTTGGGAGCTTGATTCCCAATGTACCTCTTGTGAGTAGAGGCAGGCTATGCGGCCTTAGGCAAGCTACACAGTCCTAGGATGCCCCCCAGAAGTGAATAGCAAACTGTGTCAGAGTCAGAAGTCCACATCTAGCCAGAAGTCAGAATTGACTTGATAGCACATTATTATTATTATTATTCAGAAACATTCAAGTGTGTTTCATCCAAAAGCCAGATGTTTCGATTGCCTGGTCTCTATATTTTGTTAGTTTTTCCAGTTCTTTATTTTCAACTCTGGCATCCCCTGGAATTGAAATGTCAATGATTCGGACATTTCTTTGTTCTATTACTACTATGTCAGGTGTGTTATGTTCAAGGTGTCTATACTGGAATTCATTCCAGTGATAATGATCTTGGGGGCAAGGGCTAGGGACCCTCATTTTTCCTTAAAAGTCTCCTCAGAAACAATGCCAAAACTATATAGGGTGTGATAATGGAAAAGAATTGCAGAAATATGTCTCAGACTTCTCTGAGGAATGCAGAGGTGGGGCAGCTTGAAATGATCTACAACTTTACAGCTTCCGTTCCAAATCTCTGACACCCTCTCATGCACATAATTTCTGTGTTGGTGGAATGACAATTATTTAGCATCTATTGCCTTTTCATGAACTTTAATGCCATGTAAAATAATCCCTGCCAGTTAATTGAAGAGTCCAGACTGGAAGTGCCTGTAGGCATCATCATAGTTTTTCTTCATTATTGTATCACATTCCATTTTATCTCTGTGTATGTCTGTGTTTGGCAGAAAAAAAATCCACACAAAACAAAGAGAAAGTGTTTATATTTTAGCACTTCAGTGCCAATGAAGTGAAGTAGAAGTCATTGAATATAACAACAGAAATGCACGCGCGCACACACACGCACGCATGCACACACGCACGCACGCACACACACACACGGATGACCTCTTTAAAATTAGGAATTGGGGTTCTTTGCTGATAATGTATAACTATGATATTCAGAACTCTATTTTAGCCCCAAATATGGTTGTAGCAAAAGCATTGGCTTGTGAATGGAAGTAGTGTACTGTAAATATTTACATTTACTTCATCATGAACATCATGAGAGCCACAAACATTATGGCTTGTCATAAAGATCATCTCATGGGATCACATAGGTTAATAAAACTATAAGTGATAAAAACCATTCTTGGCAAAGGCAGCAGATAGTCATATTTTGTAACTTTAACTAGATTATTTCATGAACATCAGGAGAGCACAGGAAACAGGGACAGTACATTAAACTCACCCAGCTGAGAGTTACCATTCTGAAGGACAGGGAATGAGTGTGAACATTTCTTCCAACCAGATGTTTAAGGCATGGTGTGAACAACTTTCATTGCATGTATCCGAGTCTGGGTGTCCATGAAGAGCAAATGTGGGCAAATGTAGAGGGTCCAGGGACCAATTATCTCAAGATGGCAGTGGCAGGAGGAGAAAAATAGGGAGGCAACGCGGCAGTGGGAAGGGGGTGGGGAGCAAGCTGTGATGGCACAGAGGCTGGGCTTAAAAAAACAAAACAAAATAACCACTGGGCTGTCTTAAAAAAAATCCAAAATGAACAAACAACTTGATTCATGATTCATTTGGGAATAACGCCTAAATTTGTGGTTCATGTACTTGACCATCTCTAATTTTTACCAAAAAAATAATAATAATCTGGAAACAGGAATTTGGAAGTGCATTGCTTGGTCTAGAGCAGTGGTTCTTAACCTTTGTTACTCGGATGCTTTTGAACTGCAACTCCCAGAAACCCCAGTCAGGACAGCTGGTGGTGAATGCTTCTGGGAGTTGCAGTCCAAATCTCCTGAGTAACCCAAGGTTAAGAACCAGTGGTCTAGAGTACATAATCTCTTAATGGAAATAAGTATCTTCTGAAATTCCCAGTACACGAAAGCCTGCCACTTAAGAGAGAAAAGATTTCCTATTTAGCAACGGAATAATGTGGAGAATTTATAACCCAGTTAACATGTTGGAAACATCTGATTTGAACATGTGACAAGGGGTAGAGAGGTGGCTCCATTGCTTTTTTTGTCACTCTGTTTGTGGACCTAATTATTCAGTTTCCTCATCCATGGAGAGAAGTATTCTCTTCACTCTCCATGAATGAGGAACCTGAATAAACAGGGTTTGCACCTGTGGAGAGGCTCCACATGTGCAGGAGTCTCCTTACTTTGGGCCTAGCCCTGGCTCTCTTCTCAGATGTTCACATAATCCTTTTCTGAATGCCTGAATAATATTTACATTCATCAGCTAGATCCATTATACTGGTGGTTCTCAACCTTGGGTAATCCAGGTGTTCTTGGATTGCAACTCCCAAAAACCCCAACCAACACAACTAGTGGTGATGGCTTCTGGGAGTTGCATTCTCACCCAGTTACCCAAGCCTGAGAACCACCACATTATACCTAGTAGCAGAGATGGGCACAAACTTCAATTCGGAGGTTTGTGCTGGTTCATCGGATGGGCACCACAGGTGCCGTGGTTCCCTTTTCCCACCCCGTACTGGATCCTCCACTCACCAGCCAGCACATGCTGCTCTCCTCCTCCTCCTCTTGAATCCAACCAGTCCCAGGAAGAGTGTGTGCTTTCCTCCTTTGGCATCCGCACACTCAGACAAGGAGGTAGGGCAAGGATACCTGCAGTACTGCCTTTGAGTGGGCATCTGCTAGAGAAGGCAGAGAAGAGAAGCCTGTGCTCCTGTTGGGACTGGTCAGACACCCAAAGAGGAGGAGAAGAGCAATGTATGCCAGCTGGTGAGTGGAGGATCCGGCCGGGGGTAGGGGACGGAATGAGCAGCACCTGTGTTGCCAGTCTGATGAACTGGCATGAACCTCTAAACCCATCTCTACCCAGTACATTATATGGTGCAACATTAAGTACAACTGTTCCATGTGTGTCTGACAGTAACTATGCACAGCCATTGACGATTTTTTAATTACCTGGATTCAGCCTTTTGTTAAGGTGGTGGTTTTCAGAGTTTTTAGCTTTCGGAGATATTTAGGTACGTATTCTGATGTACTCGGCAGCCTTTGTTTTGTGTTCCAAAAGATTCTGGGCATGTCTAAGTGAAACTTTCCCCAATCTTATTCTTACCAGATATTTGCACATCACTGTCTTTGATCCCACACCTCTTTCCATGTTTCCTGGGATTGATGGGAGTTGCTCTCCAAAATATCAGGGGGCAGTTTACTAGACCGGAAACTGTGAAGCCAACTGCAGGTTGTTGTGGGTTTTTCAGGTTCTTTGGCCATGTTCTGAAGGTTGTTCTTCCTGACGTTTTGCCAGTCTCTGTGGCCAGCATCTTCAAAGGACTGGAGTAGGAACTCTGTCCATGCCCTGTTGCTGTTTGTTGGATAATTGAGTATTTATAGCTGTGGGAACAGCTTTTGTCTTTTTTCAGGAGATAGGGTGATCAGCATGCTTTTGTTGTGATAAGTGGGGAGAGATTATCTGTCACTGAGATTGATGGGTGTCGTTAGCTGCTCTTTTTTGTGCAATGATCCCTGGTCCTTGTGGCTGAAGTTCGTTGCTAGAGTTCGTTGACTTTTTGCAGGCTGTATTTTTCAATATTGGGAGCCAGGCCGTGTTTAGTTTTAGGCTCCTTCCTTTTTGTTGAAGTTCTGTTGATGTTTATGGATTTCAATGGCTTCCTTATGCAGTCTAATATAATGATTGCTGGTGTTGTCCAGTACTTCAGTATTTTGAATCCCACATCCATAAATACTCAGCTATCCAACAAACAGCAACAGAGCATGGACAGAGTTCCTACTCCAGTCCTCTGAAGATGGCGGCCACAGAGACTGGCGAAACGTCAGGAAGAACCTTCAGAAAATGGCCAAAGAACCCAAAAAACTGAGAATAACGATCAGATCCTGGCCGTGAAAACCTTCGAGTATACCAGCTGCAAGTCTTAGGAGTCACCTTTGTAGCTGGTTCATGCAACACACTGGCCAAGTTTGTTAGACCCCACAGTTCCTTTGCATGGGCTGAAACTGTGCCATACTGCACATTTGAGCCTGCATTGGCGCTGGAATGGTGGGCAAGCTGGATTACTGGTTTTGATGTCGAGGCATCTATGATAATAGTGATAACAGAGTCTGGAAACCACTATATTGACCATACAAGCAAATCAACAGGAATCTGCATCCTAAGGTTTTGTTTCTGCCATCCATATAATAAGGTCATGAGCAGAGGAAATATTTTAATGCTATTCACAGTCTTTTGAAATTAGAAAGAAAATGTACAGCTCATTTCAATGGTGGTCCCCTTCGTTGTTTCAATCCATTTTTCTTTGTATCAAAGTATTGTACAAGCTGAAGTCTTTACAATCAGGGAGAAACAACAAAAAAAGAGAAATATATCCATGCAACATAGACTGCTTTGCTGGATTAGTTCAATATGCATTATGAGATCAAGTGGAAGTGACATAGGATGTAAAATGTCTGCTCTTTAGCTGAGTCTGCTTGCTGTTTTAGAAGAAATCTGAAAACAATCATTTAAAACTGAGCAACAGAAAACTGTACTTTTTCTCTATTTTTTAAAAATTAAAAATTAGGATATTAGACTATTGTCAGACAAAAAGCCTATTCTATTGTTTCCCCCCCAAAAAAGAGCTACTTTGACTGCATATTGGTTGTGGTACATTTAAATAATTGTTTTAATAAAATACATCTTTAGGTCAAAGGTTAGAGAAGTTGTCAGTAGTAGGTCAGTGTTCCACTTGCTGTTGTCTTTGCTGCAACTAATTTAATGGTCGAAGGTGGTTCAAAGTCAACAAGCGATCGCATACAGTATTGGTTTCATTCTTCCAGTACACATATAAATGAGAGAACTAGTAGACAAAAACAAAAAAGAATAGAACAGAACAGAACTAAAAAAAAAAAAGGGGGGGGAGAAAACAAGAAAAGTATTTGTGTGTATGTGTGCAACCAAATGTGAAGGTGTTCATCAGCTTTACAAGGTCCATGCAGTTTTTTTGTTAAGCTCCAAAAAAGTAGCATAGCTGATGAGAGCTCGCTCCCCCTTTTACTCCTTTTCTAAATGGAAGAATGACAGATGACACTTCTTATACCTCAGTCCAAAAGGGAACAGCTGGACCAGTCTCACTGTAGAATCCACAGAACAATAAGTTAGTTTCAGAGAGCTTCCATCCTTGAAACACTGGGGCTTGGTGGGACATGTCCGATGGGAAATTCCTAACCAACCGGGTTCATTTTAAACCAGGTGGAAATTGTTTGAGCTTCCCAGCTCCTTGTAAACATCCACATAAATGCCGTAGGAAAGTTCATGTATATTGCATTTCATTTCCAGTTACCTGTCTATGCAAGATTCTACTTGGGTGAAGTTCCCAGAGGTAATTGAAGCTCAGACACTCCGTGGTGCCCTCTCAAACTCATGGGTCCTCCTGTTCCTGCCTTTCTTATTCTCTTGTAGATGCTTCCACTTGTTTGTATTCACTTGGGTATTGGCGGGTCTTTGCCGGCGTTGTTTGCGGTCCCTTTTCCACACCTGCTCACAGAACTCATCCATTGTATTTAAGTTGGGGTGGTTGATGAGCTGCATGAAATCCCTATACCAAACTTTTTGGCTTGGGGTCATGCTGTTGGATGCTTCTTTGACCTTGGAGCCATCACCCTCTTCCTCTTTATGAAGCAGCTCTTCAAGGTGCTCTGTATCAATAATCTCCAAGGTCACTTTGAGGAGAGTTTGCATAAAGCCATGTTCAACAGCGTGACAGAAATAAACTCCCGAGTCCTTCCGCTGTAAGCTCCGCAGCAGAAGACCTTGTTCTGTCCGGATTAAGCGATCATCTGCTTTGATCTGTGATGGAGGAAAACAAAGGGGCCACACATGAAACCCTTATCTCTGGCTTTCTTACAGAGTTTCAACATTTTATACCAGAAGGATGTGAAGCATTTGATATTCATTAGGCAGAGTAGGGTTCAAAACCATACCCAATTGTGAAGTTCATTGGACAAAATTTTCTCACTGCTTAACTATGGGTGGGTTGGAATACTGAACTGAAATATCTTATTTTATTGCTAGGATAAGTGTACAAAAGTGTGATAACTACCCTTATCCATATTTCAGGTTTAACACATTTGTTAAACAACTTACAAATGGATGGATGGATGGATTTCATTTTTCTGCTGCTTTTCTCCCATTGGTGGGAGAAAGAACAAGGAAATTAACCAGAAGTCCACACAAAAAACTGCTGTCCCCAGAGCATATGCACACAGGCTGCTGCAGTTGCCTGAGGCCACTACAGGACCAACTCAGGATTGCTATGAAAGTTTTTGCTTGCTCATCTCATGAGAAACTGATACCTGTGTTTTCCTAGGCCTACTCCTGAACTCTCTTTGATTTTAACAACATTCATCCCTAATGAATGTGACAAAGGAGAAACGTTACTTTTTCAGCAGGGTCCAATAGTCTATCAATGACTGCATCAAGGTGAAGAGAAGTTTAGCACATACTGGACTAGTCTTAAGTGCAAAATCAAAACTTAGCAGATCTGTAATAGTCAGCAACTTGTATCCTCTGATCCAAATCCAGATCCAACGTTCCCTGCATGGCCATGCAGTGCTTGTATCCTCTGATCCAAATCCAGATCCAATGTTCCCTCTATGCTGCATGGCCATGCAGTGTTGCATCAGTCCCATAATGCAGCTGAGCTGTTCTTTCAGCAAGATAAAATCATGCAGAATTGATATGCATCCCTCTTATTTTAGGTGTATATATAGGTATGTCTGTGTTTGCGTGTTCCATAGTTGCACTATGGAAATAATAATAAAGCATGTGAGTTATGTGTTATAAAGTTACTTCCAATTTACTGTGACCTCAGGAGGGTTTCCAAGGTAAGTGAGAAATTTAAAGAGTGGCTTTATCAATTCCATCCCCCAGTGAGTATCCATGGCTGAGCAGGGATTTGAACATTAATTTTCTGGATCCTAGTCTATCATTCTCTCTCTGTGTGTGTAAGAAAAAAAATCAAACCAATATGATGGATGCATTCTAGGAATCTACATTAAGGGCCAAACTGTACTTGATACATTCTAAATTCTATCTATATCACACCAGAATGTTTATGAAGTTGTCTATTTTCTTCTAATCTTATAAAACAAAGCAGCATATAGATCTGCAATGAGGTTTTGGAAGAATGAGATTATGGAACTTTTTGTCGTGACTGTAGGAAGGCTGAATGTGTCCCTTGAATCCTTCACACCAAACACCATTTAACAACCTTCCCTCATTCCTTCCTTCTTTCTTTCCTCTCCCCTACCCCAGCTATTTCTCTTGGTTCAGGTAAAGCTGTCTCGCCAGCAGGGGAAAGGTTATTTCCTAAAAAAACGAGGTGATGAAGTGACCTTGCAGGCTAGTGAGATGTCTACATTCCTACCAATCCCCTTGAGCACTTGGGAAATGAGAAGTACAACTGTGTTATTCCGTAGGTAAATGCATATGGGGAAAATGGGGGGATATAAATGTCATTTAACAGGTTCTGAATAATGCAGGCTAGGAATGCTTTTTGTTCCCATGGAAATTTTCTTAGATGGTCTAGATATGAAATGCCTCCTTCAGAGCTACAGGAATGCTTTTGTCCTCACTACAAATAACAGGGATGGCACTGTCTCAGGCTATCATGAGAGCATTAATTTGGCCCCTTCAGATCACAGTGTAAGAAAAAAATCAAACCACCATGATGGATACATTTTGGAAATCTAAATTAAGGGTCAAAACTACACTTGGCATTTATTGCATACTATAACTAACAAAGAACCTTATGAAACCCTAAAGATTAACATGTTTTATTTGGCGTGAACTTTCATGGATGGTAGCCCACTTCCTGAGATGTACTTTTCATCTAAATACTTCCATAAGTGTTCCTTGTGAGTGAAATATGGGCCCTAGAGAGGATGTATAAGGGCTTCAGACATATCTGTAGAAGTAGGCTAAAGTCCAGGGGAAATTATGGCCACAGTCTATGAAAACCTATCCCAAATAAAGTATGTTTTTCTTTAAGATGCCACAAGACTTACCATTGGCTTTACACTACAAATGTGGCTCTTCCTCTGGAAATTCATCATACAGTTAATTGCCAGTATATGTTCTTGATCTGACTACATGTGAGAAGCAAAGAGCTATAGCTGCTGCTGTATTCCAATCAGGATTAAAGATCATTTTGGGAAAGAAACAATATGTACCCAGAGGCAAACTATATGATGAGTTTCATTGTGTGGTCCTAAAAGCTAGCATGCCACAATGATTGAACAGAACAAGAGCCCATTCTGATATACAGTCATGTGAAAAATAAAGTACAGTCTCATTGAAGTCTATGGTTTTATGTATCAGGACATAATAAAAACTGCCTGGTCCTTAGCAGATCTGAAAATTAGGTAAATACAACCTCAGATGAACAACACATGACATATTACACCATGTCATTATTTATTTTAAAATAATAAAGCCAAAATGGAGAAGCTATATGTGAGAAACTAAGTACACCTTATGATTCAATAGCTTGTAGAACCACCTTTAGCAGTAACAGTTTCAAGTAATCGTTTTCTGTATGACTTTATCAATCTGTCACATTGTTGTGGAGGAATTATGGCCCACTCTTCTTTACAAAGTTTCTTCAATTCATTGAGGTTTGAGGGCATTTGTTTATGCATAACTCTCATAAGGTCCCGCCATAGCATTTCCATCGGGTTGAGGTTTGGACGTTGACTGGGCCATTTTATTTTATTTTTCAACTATTTTGTTGTAGATTTGCTGCTGTCCTTGGGAGCATTGTCCTGTTGCATGACCCAGTTTTGGCCATGTTTTAGCTGTTGGATAGATGGCCTCACATTTGACTCTAGAAAACTTTGATATGCAGAGGAGTTCATGGTCACCTCAATGCCTGCAAGGCACCCAGGTCGTGTGGCTCATCACCCCTCCACCACTTGACAGTTAGTGTGAGGTGTTTGTTTTTTGCCAAATGTCACGCTGTGCACTATGGCAAACCACCTGCGCCTTGGTCTCATCTGTCCAAAGGACATTGTTCCAGAAGTCTTGTGTTCTTTCCAGATGCAACTTTGCAAACTTAAGTCATGTTATTTTTAGAGACAAGCTTTCTCCTGGCAACCCTTCCAAACAAACCATACTTGATCAGTCTTTTTCTAATTGCACGGTCATGAACTTTAACATTTCACATGCTAACTGAAGCTTGTAGAGTCTGAGATGTATCTCTCGGGGTTTTTTTGCAATTTCTCTGAGCACTGAACAGTTTGACCTTGGGGTGAATTGCTTAGATGTCCACTCCTGGGAAAACTGGCAATTGTCTGGAATGCTTTCCACTTCTGAATAATCTTCCTCACTGTACATGTCTTGGAAATTGCCTTATAACCCTTCCCAGATTGATGGGCAAGCAACAATTGGTTCTCTATGATCATTGCTGATGTATTTCCTCCTTGGCATTGTGTTAACCTGAGTGCTCCAGACCAGCAAACTGCTGAAACATGGGCTTTTATAGAGGTAGTCACACTTGCTGATGATCAGTTACTCAATGGCATTTGGTTAGCAGCACCTGGCTGTTACTTAGCCTCTTAATTACTATGGAAGCAGTAAGGTTGTACTTAGTTTTTCATACGTGACTTCTCCGTTTTAACTCTCTTCTTCTTAAATAAATCATGACACGGTGTAATAAGCCATGTGTTGTTGTACATCTGAGGTTGCATTTACCTAATTTGCAAGCCTGCTAAGGACCAGATAATTTTTATGATGTCCTGATATGTAAAATCATACAATTTAAAGAGGGTGTCCTTTTTCACATGACTGTATACCCCAAAGTGAAGATGTGGATTGTGAAAACATCATTAGAATGGAACCACTTTCATATGTCTTCCTTATGAGTTAAATATCAATTCTGGAGGGGTTGTTTAATGGCTGCCACCCTCTAAATATGCCAATCATCACCTATAAGATGGTGAGTTTTGGAGGTGCCAACCCTTCTGAGAGATGTTCAAACTGCAAAATCTCTTTTCTTTCTGAGGAAAAAAATATATTGGCACAGGTCTTTTGACTAATAGTTCTCACTGAGGCAGTAAACTTGCATCCGTTCTGTACTGTTATTGTCTGCAGATAGGGACTCACAAAACTGAATGCTCCTCTATTATTATTTTTTAATATGGAACATGTCAGAAAGAAAGCTGGAGTAGCATTTCTCCTCCCAACTAATTTTTTTTTTAATACTAGGGAGATTCCTTTCTAAAGGATTCAGAAATGAAACATTCCATCATTTAACTTCCTACCTCTACACACACACAAACACACACACACACACACCTGTAGACTGAGGTTGATTGACCCAAGCCACATGCTATTGAGAAACAGGCCCAAGAAACTGAACTGAAGCCAGTTAGATTCTGGTTCAAAGCCAAAGCCTGTGAAGACCAGGAACCATACCTCTTCTTTCCGATCATCATTTTGCTTCTGGAATTGCCAGTAGACCAGAGCACGCTGAGATTTTGGACTGCATTCTAGAAAAGTGCTGCTGTTTTCCACTCCATAGATGATCTTCTCTTCAAGTCCATGTCCACTTGGATTATCTAGGAGGAAAGACGAAGAGAAATAAATGGTTTAAGCATTACTAGAGGAAATGTGTGTGCCTTGGGAAGGAAGTAAAAATATTTGAGGTCTGCAACTGTCTGACAAGTATCCCATTTGGGGTATTAAATATGAAAGAAATCCATTGAATTCAGTGAAGTAATTGAACATTGAAAAGTGCAGGCTTGGTGGTCATATTACGTTGCATCTGTTTAAGCTTCCAATATATTCTGAATATTTTAAAAAGTATAATTTTTAAAGCACCCAAATTTGGAGACATTACGTAGTCCTGCTGGGTGTCATTAACACCATTTTAGGAGACACATAGATTTCTGCCAATGTATAGAATTCACATTTCCTTTTGTTTACAAATAGTTGGACAACCAAGATAAATGTGCAGGAATTTCGCTTATCTTCTTCCTTTCCTTTTTTGAAATGTGATTTACCTCTACAAAGTCTAAATGAATTATAGAATCATAGAATAATGAAGAATAATGCTGTTGGAAGGGTTCTATAAGGATATTGAGTCCAACCCCGTGCTCAATGCAGGAATACAAATCAAAGGATGAAAAGCAGTTATTGAGCTAGGAAGGGTGCTAAAAGGAGCTCGAAGAGGTCATGAAAATTCTTATGACTGAAAGCAGAAATAAAAAATTGTTTGGGAAACTTCAGCTGGTTTAAAAGCCAGACTGTTGATCAGGCCCTGTTACAGGGCATGAATAACTTTCTGGTTAACACCAGGTCAATGGGTTGCTGGTCCATTCCCAGGCCCAGTTCAAAGTGCTCATTATGCCTATAAAGCTTTGTATGACTTGGATCTTAGCTATGGGCAGGACAGCATTGTCTCAAACAAGCCCCTTTTAGTTTAAGATCTTCAAGAGAGTCCTTCTCTTGGTCCCACTGCTTTGGTAGTCACATTTCATGAAGATCTGAGAGAATAACTTTTCAGTGGCTGCTCGGGGGCTGTGGAATTCCTTTCCATGGCAAGGTAGGCTGGCCTCTGATCCAACAGGCAGAAAAATCTCTTTCTCTTCTTTCAAAACTTTGGGCCACTGATCAAGCTGCAGAGAGAGTTGCTGAGCTTGGGGTTTCTTTTTAATCTTGTTTTTTTTAATGTGCCTATGCTTTTTTGGTTTTGTTTTTATATTATTACTTGTTTCCTTTTATAAAATAATTTTTAATAATGAAACTTGGCCACGGGTTCTCCCCACAAAGCCATTTTGTAAACTGCTTTGCATCTCTAAAATGGGAGAGAAGCAGGATATAAACAAAAATACATCCATTCATTCATATATATCAGTACCTTCCAGGATTTGCACTCAAGAGTGGAAAGAAAAGGGAATGCACAATCCCAAAGCCTTCACAAATTTCTGCCTGCACCAGCGTGAAGTGTGTCCTTTCTTAAATGGAAGCCATTCTTTCTTAAACTGCCGCCTGCTATATCCTTAAAGTTTAGGATATTGGTTCACTGAGATCTTTATAAAATTGTGTTGAGGGGAGTGTTCTATAAACAAGCTTGGGTGTGGTGTCAGAAGAGCTAACTATGTCTCAAGAGGTTTATGATCATAATACTTTAATAGACAAACCATAAAATAGAAAGCCTTCAAAAAAGTAGTAAACCTTGTTTAGATTATATGGCACGGCAGCGTGTTGCAGAAGCCATTAATGACTAGAAATCTTGTTTTTGTGGAAACAACATTCAATTAATCATTTTCTCTACTAAGCCATATAATTTATGGAAATGTAACAAGGCTAATAAACCAGACCTTGCAGGATCAGTGAAAGAAAGTGAAATAAATTACTTCCTTTCTGTAACAACATTGTTTTCAAGCTATTCATCAATTTGCTGGAAATGCTGGACTGCATTTGGATTTACATGACTGTTGCTCCTACTTGAGCACCATAAAGGCAATGAAGTATAAAATTTCAAGACTTCCTTTTAACTTTTTAACAGGACACACATTTAGGCTAAAATCCTGTTGCTTAGCATAGGAACTCACAACTACAGCAGGCCCATTGAATAAATGGCACTTACAGAGGTGTCAACTCAACAAATCTCCACTGATCCAATGGACCTATTCTAGCACTACCTATTACACTAAGCATTATTCATTTGTCTGAATTGATTTGTTATTACTAATAAATATGTATTAATAATAAATGCATCAACATGCTGTGCATTTTTCTACATTTTCTCCTAAAAATATTCATTTCTGAACACCTTCTATGCACTCTGTACATAGAAAACCCTGGTAAGGGTTGCTGTAGGTCTCCATCTACTTGACAGCATGCAATTAATGTATTAGTGTGATCCTTAACACATTTTTATATATAGGTAGTCACATTTCATGAAGAACCATATAGAAATTTGTGTTCAGGTCCTAGAAACCTCCAAGAAGGTGGATGCAATTTTCAAGTACGCCTCAAAGAAGCCACCTCCTCAACCATTTATTATCCAAAAATACCCATGGTTCAAAACTAGCATTTCCCCAGCCTTTTTTTTTTAATTGCTTTCGGGGATGATTTTATAATAGGTAGAAAAATACATTATACTAAATTAGTTTTCTGATCTACTGTGTTTTAACTAGCTTATTAAATTTTAAATACATTTAAAATTATACCTGAATTAAAATTGATGTAGGCACAAAAGGGTTCAGGACTACAATTCCAGAATCCTCTAGCCATCATACCAACAAAAAACATGACAAGAAACAAAAACAAAAACAAAAAAAAGGGGGGGGGAAGCATTGTGGTGCCATAAAGAATAAAGCCCATCATGATCACTTTCCCAAGCTCTGTCTTCTCTAAGGTTCAAAACTGTTCACAAATTCAGAGACTGTACAGTGTGGACTAAATCACTACCTTGAAGGAACACACATGGAGTGCTGAGCATCACTGAAATCTAAAATACCTGCAGTGAGGCGCTTTGATGAACTTAATGCTGGAAATGACTGCATCTCTGCAGTAGAGGGCAGTGGTGCATAACTCTTCTTGTAGAACAAGTGCTTTCTTTTTCCTTGTTTTGGAATGCCACCATCTAATTGATGAGTTGGGATAAACACCTTACATGCCATCCCATAGCTGGACTGGGCATTTAATTTTTTTAAATGCATAATTAATAAGGTAGCAAAAAATTTAGCCATTTAAAAAAACTTTTTACCAGTCTGAATATAAGAAAGCCCTTGTTGAAAATTCCATCCTAGGCTGTTTCCGAGTCTTCTACACTCTGGCCTTTTTCAAATGTACAGTGTTTGGATAAAAATACATTATTACAGCAGGATTTGCTCTCCGTATAGGTCTCATGGTTAGGGGTCTTTGCTCTATAATATCCAGCAGTGGCCATTTGATCCATTTTTGCTGGCAAAATTAACCTTCTGGGAGAATCCAGACAATAACGAAAATGCCCTCTTTATGCAAAGCACGAATTGAAAGTTTTGAGATCAATTGATTAGCAAGGATGATGAATTTCTAAGCTACAAGATGAAGTACAAGTTGCAAACATCTGCTGACTGGCAATACTTACAGCCATTAGCATTCTTTCTCATATAAATATGGAAAGTACGGACTAGTTTTCTTTGCAGAGGGAAAATATTATGCTTATTAACTTTGCATCTGAACAATGTCCGAATCGTGTTAATTTTAATTAGGCATCCTTCAGTATCGAGAGACTATGGTAATATGCTCTGTATGGAGGAACAGCATTGCGTGCGGCTGAGAAGACCATATATTTCATGTAATAATAATAATAATAGTAGTAGTCATGTGTCGTCAAGTCCATTCTGACTTATGATGACACTTTCCAAGGTTTTCCAGATAAAGAATACTCAGAAGTAGATTACAATTCCCTTCTTCAGGTGATGGCTTGGGATGATGTAGCTTGCCCAAGGCCACATAGGCTGGCTCTATTCATAAGAGGCATAGTGGGGAATCAAACTCCCAACCTGTGCTCTGTAGTCAGATACCTCAACACTGAGCTATTCTATAGGTGTCTCTATTTTGTTAAACTATTTACCCATTGCATAAAAATTAGCCAGCAGCCAATGAAGATGGATTTTCCACACCCTTGTGGTGACCAAAATACAGTGGTGCCTCACTTGACAAGGATAATCCGTTCCAGCAAAATCGCTATAGAATGAAATCATCATCAAGCGAAAGTAAAAAATCCATTGAAATGTATTGAAAACCGGTTCAATGTGTTCCAATGGGCAAAATACCTCAGCATCCAGTGAAGATCCTCCATAGGGCAGCCATTTTCCGGTGCCCGTATAGCAAGGAATCCATCCTAAAACACAGCGGGGAGCTATTTTGCACAGCGAGCGGCCATTTTGAAAACCCAACAATCAGCTGTTTCGATTGCCGTTAAGCAAAAAAACCCGATACAAACATTGTTTTGCGATTGCAAAATACTCATTGTTAAGCGATTTCCTCATCATTAAGCGGGGCACCACTGTATTGTTGCAACAATAGTTAGATAAAGCTTCCCCCACCGTGCTTTTTAGATCATAAAATCTGCATTACCAATTTTTATACATCTTGAGACTCAGTCTCCCATTTGTACTTTTGCCTCCAGTAGATGTACCGTTTCCCTCTGCTTTTTTCTATCCTGTATCCACCTACCTGGTGACTCAGAAAATCGGATGGGACTTACTCAAAGCAGATGCATACAAAACTGTGTGGCATACAACTCATGATGTGAAATATCAACAAAATGTCTGAGACGGCAGAGACAAAGATGAGAGGACTTCTAAATTCCTTGCTCTCACTGATTTAGGCTGTTTCATCATGAAGAGAAACTTGAAGAAATGTTAAACTCTGCAAGATTCCCATGCCTCCAGTGTGACAAACGTTTGAGGTTTCTTCAATTTGCACAAAATGTCTCTTTATAAAATGACTGTCTTTTTACATTGTGAAGGCACATGCTCAGGCACACATCATACACATAATAACTAAATGATTGATTTTTTTAAAAAAAAGAGATGTGAACAATCTAACTATTGCTTCAAATGTTTAAGTCCAAGAAATAGGCCTGCAGGTACAATAGATTTGTATGAAATGTTTAAGTCCAAGAAATAGGCCTGCAGATACAATAGATCTGTATGATCTATGGGAGGGAGTTCCGGAGTCTGGGAGCAACAAGAGAGGAGGCCCTCTCCCATATACCACCAAACACACATGTGAAGGTCCCAAGACCGAGAAAAAGTCTGGGAGCAACAAGAGAGGAGGCCCTCTCTCATATACCCACCAAACACACATGTGAAGGTCTCAAGACCGAGAAAAAGGCCTGATGATCTTAAAACTTGAGCAGGCTCATAAAGGTAGATGCAGTCCTTGAGATGGCTTGGGTCCAAGCCATTTAATGCTTTATACATTAGAACTAGAGATAGGCACAAGCTGGTGGTTTGGCCATTCGTGCTGGTTCATTTTTTGGTCAAACAAATGTTTGGCACTTTCTAGCCCTGCCTCCTCTGGTGGGTGCTCATTCAGAGGCAGCGCCTGGAGGAGGTGGAGCAGGGAAGCTAGGTTTCTGCCTCTGAGTGTGCACCCACCAGAGGTTAGGAAGCGCCAAACACCTGTTTGGTTGAAGGTGCTCATTCAGAGGCAGCGACTCTCTGTTTTTTAAAGATCTTTCAGGAAGCCTGTCTCTCAGGCCCCAGGTCATGCAGGCCTGAGAGACAGCCTCCACCATGAAATATGGCATTTAAATGTAATGTTGCCTCTGGCCTCATTTAATTCGATCAAATTGAACCTGCTGACACCTAACTCTCTGTTTTTTAAAGATCTTTCAGGAAGCCTGTCTCTCAGGCCCCAGGTCATGCAGGCCTGAGAGACAGCCTCCACCATGAAATATGGCATTTAAATGTAATGTTGCCTCAGGCCTCATTTAATTCAGTCTTAGTCTTTTTTAGAAATTGGAAGTGACCAGCCTGCCACTTCCTATTTCAGACTAGTCAGGGTGTATTTGCTGCATTTAAATGACAAGTTTTCTGGGAGAAGTGAAAAATTGAGAGACTGTGGTGCAGCCCACCAAACATCCGGGGGGTGGGAACGAAGGTCTCACAGCCCCTCAGAGGTTGCCTGTTACAAAACACATTCAAAGATTTAAATTGTATTTTAATTGTTTTATCTTTTTATTGTATTTTAATTGTTGTAACCCACCCAGGGACCTTTGGGTAGAGTGGGCGGCATATAAGTTAAACAAACAAACAAATGAAAAGAATCAGAAATTATGTGTTTCTGGAGAACACCCATAGGCAGATAACCATTCATTTTTCTTTGGCTTATCCATCTACAATTTCTTCCCAGTGATCATCTTGCTTGAAATACCCTTTGAAGTGCTGTGTGTCAAGAAGTTATGAGATATTTCATGGCAATGTCCCTGGCAGAAAGATTAATGCTATATTTATTAGCTAGTTCACTCTTCATATGTATTGGAATTATAATACCTCTAATTCTCTGCCACTTGCTATGCTGGGTAGGAGCTGGAGTAAAAATATATGACTCAATTGATTTGGGGTTCATGCAAGAATTTTGCTGTTTTTCACATTGAATTTTTAACTTGATGGGTAAACTTACTCATGAGTAAACCAGATAAAACATGCTCTATGATTCAAAGTCACGAAAAAGGAAAAACAGTAACTTCACAGCTTAAATGAGTGAGCTGCTGTACATTATTATCTATTTTTAAAATAGCTTTTAAAATATTTCCACAGGTGGTGCTAGGAATGTGTGGCCAGGAAGGAGTTAAATGCTTTCTTTCACACTGAAAGTCATGGCAGGGTTAAAAGTAAGAGAAACCTGCTCAGCGGGCTGAATGGAGAGACATTCGGATTGGCTAGAATGTTCTACTAAGCAAATAGGTCTTTTGGAATTCCTTCAGAACTCTCTGAATTTTTTTAAAACAGCCATTTCAGAGGTTTTAGGAGTTAAAAAACAGTAATTAAATAGTCTAAATTAGAGCCAGCATTGCTCCAATTCATGTGGATGAAGTAAAAGAGGTTAAAATGCCCCCCCCCAGATATGCAAATTTTGTCCTGTCTATGTTTTTCATTTCTTTTCTATTAGCTGACAAAATGGTCACGGTTCTTCACGGGGGGGGGGGGTTTTGTGTGTGGGTGGGTGTGTTTTTTTTAAATCACAATTCAAAAATCCTTCACTCTAACATCCCCAAATTTGGCATGGAGCAAGAGAAAACATCCCCCCCAGATATGCAAATTTTGTCCTGTCTATGTTTTTCATTTCTTTTTTATTAGCTGACAAAATGGTCACGGTTCTTCACGGGGGGGGGGAATTGTGTGTTTTTTCAAAAAAATCACAATTCAAAAACCCTTCACTCTAACATCCCCAAATTGGGCATGGAGCAAGAGAAAACTTTCTGATACATCTGTGTTAATTTTGGTGATGTTCTGAGGTCCAGTTTCATAGTTAACTTTTGTTTTGTTTTGTCCCCACATATTTTGATTTTGCTTGTAGAATCCTGCTTTCTGTACAAAATATATGACACGACTACCATGGTGCCATAATACAAAGAACTACAACTTACCATGATGCTGTAGATCTGAGCAATGAGTAAGAGGGTCACCATTTCGTATATCTTGCCGTCTTGTACGTCTAAAATGTAAAGAAAAACTGTTAAGTGTTTGTTGCAGCCATCCATTGATTCTGTGGATATTGCTAAAGTATTGTTCTTGCCAAAAGTAGCCAAAGGCGCAAAATATCTGTTTAAGTCTCTCATGACTAAAAGAGAAGTTGGGAAAGTTTCATCTGCTAAATTTCATTGCCTTAGATAATAGCACAAGAATATGTTTTTAAAAAGAAACCGAGAAGTGAAACACTGGCACTTTAGACAATTTCAGGCACATGTAAACTTATAGTACACCAAAGGCATAGGGGTTTGTACAAATTGATTCATTACTTATTTGAATAATATTTTTCATTGGTATCTTTGCAATCAGGAGTCAATACCAAAACAGAATATATTATTGTTCCCTCTGAGAACAGTCTCAGCAAGACATCCAGTGTGTATTGATAGTTATTAAATTAAGAGTCTGATTGGTAGGCATTTGGATAAATGAGATTTCCACATTCCTACAATGTATCTTCAGCCTTTTATCTTTATCTTTCTTAAGGGTACAGTGAATTTTAAACTCCATTGTGTTCTATGAGAAGCAAACCAGTCAAGTTTCAGCATCTGACTGTGTGCAAGGTATTTAGTGATCTATAGTGGTGCCCCACTAGACGATGTTAATTCATTCCATTGAAATTGCTGTTTAGTGAAAACATCGTCTAGCAAAAAGCCTTTCCCCACTGGAATGCATTGAAACCCGTTTAATGCGTTCCAATGGGGAAAATACCTCATTGTCCTGCGAAGATTGCCCATAGGAAAGCCGCTTTGCAAACCATCGACCAGCTGTTCTAAATCGCTGTCTTGCGAAAAACGGGCCCGAAAACACCCGTTTTGCGAAGATCACCCCTAGGGAAGCTATTTTGCAAACCGCTGATCAGTTGTTCTAAATTCCCGTCTTGCAAAAAGACGGTCCGCGAAGCACAAACCAAATTACCGTCCAGCGAAATTCCCCCATAGGAATCACTGTTTTGTGGTCATGCAGATTCGTCGTTCTGAGGGGTAATCGTTTTGCGAGATACCACTGTATTAGTAATCCAGGTTTACAATGCCTTGGAGTCCCATTTATAAGAGTATAGGGATATTGGATGATAGGGATATATTAGTATCCTCTCCAAGAATATTTCCAAGATCTGTCCTTTTTTATAAGTGTAGTCTTTATGGTTCAGAGTTCTCTGAAGCCTTTGTACTTGAGAATGATTAGAATTGGCTCATCATCATTTTGAAGGCAAATCTATAAACATTATATATTTAAATCCAGCCTCAGAACAATGATGAGCTATCACATTTTCCAGTGCTTCTTGTTGTTAAGTCGTGTCTGACTCTTCGTGACCTCATGGACCAGAGCACGCCAGGCCCTCCTGTCTTCCACAGCCTCCTGGAGTTTGGTCAAATTCATGTTGGTAGCTTCGGTGACACTGTCCAAGCATCTCATCTTCTGTTGTCCCCTTCTCCTCTTGTCTTCACACTTTCCCAACATCAGGGTCTTTTCCAGGGAGTCTTTTCTTCTCATGAGTATTGGAGCTTCAGCTTCAGGATCTGTCCTTCCAGTGAGCACTCAGGGTTGATTTCCTTCAAAACGGATAGGTTTGTTCTCTCTGCAGTCCAGGGAACTCTCAAGAGTCTCCTCCAGCACCACAATTCAAAAGCATCAATTCTTCGGTGGTCGGCTTTCTTTATGGTCCAGCTCTCACTTCCATATTGCTAGCTTGTCGTGGCGAATGGGCTTGAGTAATTCAGAGAAGCTATGGGCTATGCCATGCAGGGACACCCAAGATGGACAGGTCATAGTAGAGAGTTCTGACTAAATGCGATCCACCTGGAGCAAGAACTGACAAGGCACTCCAGTATCTTTGCCAAGAAAACTCCATCGCCAGTGCTTCTAAATATGGGTAAGTTTAAGGGGGAACAAAATAAAGCTGGACAGCTCAGTGGTATCTGGCTGCAAAGCTAGAGATGTGGAGTTTGATTCCCCACCTCTTTGACAGGGGCTGATTTGACAGTCCTTCCAGCTCTGCAGTTGTAACATTATCATTATAAAATAAAGCTAATTTTAGATGCCTTGGAAACAAAATGGTAAAACATGTACAGTATAACAAAACTTGCCACAAGATGAGTTACATTACAAAGCTTGATCAGGATATTACAATTTTGTATGTTCAAAGCTGTTAGTAGTTTCAGAAACTATCAGATTGTTTTTTATTTTGATCTACAGCAACATAAGTTTAAGGAACATTTCACCTTCCATTGGCTTTCCCTTACTTTCTTGTAGATTTGTGTCATTAAAAAAAAACATTCTGTAGAAAACAAAATAATTTGAAATGGCCTCTTCCTGTTCTGACTGATTGCTACTGTTGTATTTGCTCTGTCTGCTTCCTTTGTAACAGACATCAGTAGTCCCAAACCTCACTTCAATCCATTAAAAACTGGTGCTTTAAAGTAGAAGAAAAGAACAGGGGGAACAAAGATGTTGTTAGAGGCTGAGCACTTGGAGAAGAAAAGAAACACTAAAAGAATGAGAAGTCAGGAAAGAAGTGGGGAACAAAAAAAAGGATTAGGTGGCTGAACAATGATGGAATTTCAGATCTTGAAATCATGTCAGCAGAAGTCAAAGGCTCTGAAGAAAACCACATTTGTTTATAGCCCCCAGTATCTGTTGTGAAAGTATGAAAGAGAAAGAAAAGCATGGTGCAAACCTCAAAAACCAATAATCACATATTTAAAAGATAGATTGTTGAAAAACAAGACAATAGAAAAGATTGTTGGGTTGGATCCAGACTAAATTAGTTTGGCTTTAATGTCACTGGAATCAACCCACTGACTTTCCACGTTGTGTAGGAAGGTAGTGCACAGAAATTAAGTCACATTTTGTCTCTCAAATAAAGAAGAGCTAAATCAATTACAAAATGTGTGATGCCTATGTTCTTTCGACTGCTGCTGTTCTAATGTCATAGGTGTTTCAAGTTTTAGATTTGTGAACCTAATGTTTCAAGTTTTAGATTTGTGGTTCTGTTGATATATGATGTGCTCAGTATAGTTGACAGTGGAGATATTGGAAGTCTCCCTTACCTCTTAGCAGTGGGGAAGTAGCGAGAGCATGAGGAGCCATCCCAGGCACAGTATGGGTCTCTAGCAAGGCAGCACTCTGCACATGCTTTCCCATACACATCACAGCGATGCAGAGGAAGCTGGGAAACCCCAACAGCTGAGCCAATGTAGAGCTGTTGCTGTTGGTGGGGAAGGAACAAGAGAAATTTAATCAGCCATCTTTCACTGAAAAAGACTTTTGTGAAAAACATGTAACTATTTGTGCATATCTGTGAGCAACTTTGGCCATCACAATATGTTCAAAAAGTGACAGATCTTCATGTGGACGCACTGTTTGGATTCACTCATTAAACTTAAGCTGCTGCTTTTTGCCACAGAATATCTTAAAATTACCCAGGATTTATGCATTTTCCAAAATGAAACTCATGATTTCTAGAGCATGTCAGGATTTAGGAACTCCCATTTAGGAGATTCCAACATGTTACTGAACATGGGTGTATGAATCTGTTTATGCACCAGTTTCTCATCCTGTGTTCCGCTAAGAGATGAAAAACGCATAATAGCTCCCTGAATCCCACCAGCTGGTGTGGCCTGTGGAATTCTGGGGATTATAGCCCAAATTACAACTCTTCTGGTTGTAATGCTCCCACTCTGTACATCTATCCCTCACTTCCACTGGGTCGAGGACAGATCTGTTTTGGTTGAAGCATGAGTTTGGAAAAAGAGCTTTGATTGTAATCTTTTCCTCTACGTGGACCACAGTCCAGCAGTTCTGTTGAAGACTTCCAACTTCATAGTCCACAAAGAACAATGCTTTCAAGATATAATGCTGCGATGGTCTAGGATGAGGAATCAACACATTCTCAAAAATGTCTTCCATACGGAGATGTGCAATGCCAGGAGCCTGTCAAAGTGTCTCCCAAATATGACTTGGTGCCCCCACCTCACCCTTTTGCTTCAATTGAGGCTAGACTGACACCTTCTCAGCTTTACTCCACATGAATAACTTGGGCTTTCTTTGCTGGAGAAAACTTTAATACTGTAAATTTGTTTTGCAGATGATCGGGGAGCATTGTAATCCCTCCTGAATACATAAAGAGGCCTTTGATCAAGAAGTTGCACTTAAAGGCATGGCTCATTATACACATAATCAGCTCCTTTAAAAAGAATGTTCTTGTAAAAATAATCAAAAGCAGAGCATTCTAGTACTACATGAACATACACATATATAAAACTTGACAGCTTTGTTTTGAAAATAGTTTTCTCCACAATAGCACATTCTTTTGCATCTCACCCCCCCTTGTTGTTTTAGGTGATAAACTGCAAGGGACGGGCCTCAAAGAAAATATTTCATGTCAAACACATTTGTTTTAGGCAACCTTCCAATATATAGTGGTGTTCCCAGCTGGACTGTACAAAATTCAAGCTGCAGTGGTGGATTGACTCCTCATCCCATCAAAAACAATATCAATGACCTCCATGATGTTTTAATTTCCTTTTTAAAAATCATCCTGAAGGATTTGTTATAAAATTCGAAAAGTTGCAAAGATAAAAGAAATCCTCACTGTGCTATGTTTAGGGTACACTCACTGAAACCAGAAGGTTTAATTTAATCATGACTAACCAGTCCCATTGATTTAAGTGGGGATATTTTAAGCATGACTCCATTTAGATGCAGGCTATGAACCATGAGACCTGATTTGCATGTCCTGACTTGAAGCTCCATATCTCAATGGCAGTTGTTCTGTGTGGTCAAGTCGTCTCTGACCTATGGCGACCCTAAGAATGAGTGATCTCCAGAATGTCCTGTCTTCAACTGCCCTGCTCAGCTCTTGTAAACTCAAGCCTGTGGTTCCTTTAAGGAGCCATTTGGATTTTCTCTTTTCCTGCTGCCTTCTATTTTTATCAACATTATTGTCTTTTTCAGAGAATCCTGCCTTCTCATGATGTGCCCAGAGTTGGACAGCCTCAGTTTCAACATTTTTGCCTGCAGAGGTAATTCAGGCTTGATTTCCTCTAGGAGTTGTTTGTCTTTCTGGCAGTCCAGGGTATCTTGTCCAGCACCACATTTCAAACAGATCACTTTTTTCCCTTGTCAGCTTTCTTAATTGTTCAGATTTCACATCCATACATGGTGATCAGAAATATGATAATGTGGATGATCTTGGTCTTGGTCTCCAGTGACACATCCTTACACTTGATGATCTTTTCTACTTCCTTCATTGCTGCCCTACAGAGTCTCAGTCTTCTGATCTTTTCTAGTTCCTTCATTGCTGCCCTACAGTCTCAGTCTTCTGATTTCCTGGCTGCAGTCTCCATTTGGATTGATGATTGAAACAAGGTATACAAAAATCTCTGTTTCAATTTCTTCAGTGTTAAAGTTATGTAGGTCTTCTATAGTCGTGATTTTTATGCAGAAAATCCCAAATGCAATCCCTCAACTTTTCCATGTAATGCTAGAAAGACACTGCAGAGCTGGCTATTGCCAGGTGGGATTTACAAAATGGAGCTAGATGGACCAATGGCCTGACTCTGGAAAAAGCCATCATCATTCTTAAAGAGATTCCATACCACATGTACTGTGCATATCCAACACATACTATGCTACTTTTAGAGATACACAGCTTAGTTCTTTCAGTGCTCGTGCTGTATGAAATATGAAGGTGTTAACATAGCTTTTAATTATCAAGACCACAAGGTGGTGCAAAGTGATGAAATGTGTGTAGGAAACTCTCTCTCTCTCTCTCTCTCTCTCTCTCTGTGTGTGTGTGTGTGTGTGTGTAGAAAAGTTATTATAGTGCAGGCTGTAGTAGTACTATATAGCAACCTTTTCTTGTACATTTGTAATTCTTTGCCAGAATGTCCAGTTCAATGACTCTCTCTGTGTGTGTGTGTGTGTGTGTGTGTGTAAAAGTTATTACAGTGCAGGCTGTAGTAGTACTATGTAGTAACCTTTTCTTGTACATTTGTAATTCTTTGCCAGAATGTCCAGTTCAATGAGGGTTTCCTTCCACTCTTTCCTTCTTCATTTCTAAACCATCCCACCATCCCTCTGAACTAAGCGATATTTATGGTCCACCTATGTTGGCATTCACATTAGGGGCTATACCGCTATAGACCCTGGGCTTATGTCTCCCTGCTCCAGTATCATCCTTCTTTCAAGGGGCTGGGAAGTAAATGACTGAGTATAGCTTCCAATTTTACAACATCTACATTTTCCTGCACATTAAAATCTTTCAAAGTAGTACAATCTCCTCTTCAGGCACAGTTGTTATTTTTGAGTCATTCCAGTTTGAATTTGTACACTGACTAATTTTCTGTTCCAGAAATTATATTTGCATGAGGGTGATGACATCAACAAGAGAGGAAGTTTGTTGGCAATTACGGTGTTCCTGTTTGAGAGGCATCACTCATGCAACAGGAGTTCGACAAGCCATGAGGCAAAAGCGGGGACTCTTTGATTACTGCAAATTTCCCCAACAAGTGACACCATCACTTTTCTGCTGGTGTCATTTTACCAAACAGGATTTTGTCCACTGCAATTAGCTGTGTGAAAAGGCTTAACTCTCCCACTGTGATCAGTGGGGCATTTAAACAGATCTTAACTCAGGCTTGATAATCCATTCCAATTTGCATATGTATGAGCTTGTAGTTATTGTGTATGGAGGAAAAGAACAGAGAACTTTCAGGGAAGGATGCTGCTGCTGCCAACTTTGAAGAACAGGGATTCCCTTCTTACCACCCACAGCCTAGCCAATGATACTTGGACCCCTGAAGATATGACATGGGTAGACGCAGCCAAATGAACGTTTGTTGCAGAAAATAGACAAGTATTTCATTTCTATATCACTGATAGCTAAATATAAATAAGGACTTCCCCCCCTCTTTCTTGCCTGCCAGATTTTCTGTGAGACACAAAACATGTATATGAAAATATTCTGCCATGTGTATTTATTCACAGAGCCAAATTAACATCTCTGAAATGTAGAGTCCAATAAATATTTAAGAGTGTTGAAAGTGTGTGTACAGTACCTGTTTTGTGGAAATCTTCATTGCTGTAATTGCTGTGGGTTCCTGGAAAAGAGAGTTATTGTTAAAACAAAGATGCTTTAAATAGCTGTGTGTTTTTTTAATAGGATGAAAACTGGGTATCTTGCAGTTGATTGTTCTCACTGACTTCCACACTGGAACATTATTGTTGCTATGGATGCACTCAAATGCATTTATGTCTGTGCAGTTGTGCATGTTGTAACTCAATGCAGGACTTAATCAAGCATTTCATTTACAAAGGTCCTAGTGCAGACGTCAGCACCAGCTCTTTGCAAATTGGGAACCAATTGCAGCAATTTACACCTCTATCCCCTTTCCAGGATATACTCCTTTTAAAAATTCTTAAACACAGTTGAAGCTAATCATGCTTTTTATTCAAATAAAGAACGTTATTTTAAAAAGGAGCAGTAGAACCGAAGGTTAAGATCCCATACAGAGAGTTACTGTCAAAGGAGGAGGTAGGGATGCCCTGTGGGATGTCTCCCACAATGCCAATCCTGAAGAGCAAAAGCTTTAGAAATGGACTGAAGAGACATCTGAAGAAACAGACTGAAGTCCGTGGAAGACTATGTGAAATAAAACGTAGCAATCCTCAAGGTGGCATAAGACTCTTATTTTTGTTGCAACAGACTAACACAGCTACTGTCCGAAAATGATTTTGCAACTTATGCCAGTTGTTTCATGATTCTCTGTTCTCACTCAATGTCACTGGATCCCCACTAGTGAAAAGAGGGCAATGAAGAGAGACATCATCATGGGAAAAATGAAGGCCATGATGATGTCACTGAAGCCATGATGATGTCACATCATGAATGAATATATCAAATGATGAGCAGACAGAGGAGAACTCAGTGCAAAGCTGCTGTTTTTTTAGTAGGAGTTGTATGATGAACTCTGTGTAGATCTCTCCAACTTCCTATATACTTATGGGTTCCTAGGGCTGTTTCGGGCACAACAAAGAATCTTGGTACTTGGAGAGTATCTACCCAAGTATAACAAAAAATTCTTGTGACTCCTTAAAGACCAAGAAATTCTATTTGGTTCTTTTGTGGATTGTAGTCTACTTCACCTGGAAGTGAAGATCTGCATCTGAAGAAGTGAACTGCAGTCCATGAAAGCTTAAGCCCAATTTATGTCTTTAAGGTGCCAAAAGACTTTTCACTGTCTTGCAACATAGTATCATGACTACCCTCTTCGAAATATGCAGGTACATTCACATAGATTGTTTAAGTCCTCCATCCAACTTTTGGAGAACTGGATACAGCTCTATGGATGCTAAGCATGCAAATTCCTCCTTGCAGATGGATTATTAAACCTGGTACTGGAAAGCATCAATTACAGTTAGCACTGAAATGTTTCCTCAGCTGTTCAGGGAGACACTGCACAAATCAGGTTAAAATGGCATTTGTTATCAATGTAATACATCTGGAATGCTTTCCATTTAGCTGCGACTGTACATGAAAAGCACTGTGTTTGGCATTCTGAAACTCAAGCTGTTAAATTCATTCTTTGGTGACAGAAAATTAGATCTGTTCACTCCAGGGATCTGTGAAAAATCCAAAAGTAATGGGCTACATTGAAATTTTGTATTATATTTCTCTAAAGGACTGAGAAAAACTGCATCTGTACTTGCATTCAAAATGTAGTCAAAATATTTTATGTTAGCTGATAAGGAACCCTTTTGTTATGCTGATCATTTTGATTAGTGCATTCTCAGTCATAGGTGAACAGTGCTCGACATAGCTAGAAAACTGAAACCCTATTCTGGTGGCCTCTCTTCACTTATCTTATGCTGCTTTTATCTGCCCTTCAATCAACTCTTCTCTATAGCAATGCAAGGTTGAATCTACTCTGATAATGTCTTGATTGGTACTGCCATTACCAGCCTTGATTTCCTTCTATCGACCCTCCATACTGCAGTCCACCTAGCTTAAGGACACACGGTGCTTCCTCCCTTTACTTCTCCTCCAAATTGGTAATGGTATTAGAGCAGCTTTGCTTAGAGGTCAAAGAAAAATAGGTCAAGAGGAGCGTTCCCTGTTTAAGAGGTTGTACATGATAAAAATGAGTATGAAATGCATGCATGCTTTCACACGTAATTCTCTCTCTCTCTCTCTCGCTCTCTCTCTCTCTCTCTCTCTCTCTCTCACTCTCACTCACTCACTCATTCACTCACTCACTCACTCACTCACTCACTCACTGATTCTGGGCAATCAAGTGGGGGTTACTTTAAGTGAACTCTTTAAATGTAATAAACAAATTGAATAATTAGCAGTCCAGGCCTGCCTCGGAGCTAGGGGTGTAAAGAATCGTTGCTAAATCCTTCATTCTTGTCAATTCAGGCTTTCACTACTTGACAGGATGTCTCAATGAGGAATTTTCAAGGCCCACAACATTCTTAGCTCCAGGTGAGAGTGAGAAAGGAAGACTATTTTTTCCCTGTCAAGATCTCCATAATTTGTACAAACTGCCTCTACTTGCCCTTTGTCTTTGGAAAGAAAACAGACATTCACAGCAAGTACAGGACAGGTCATTTTTTAAGTACACAAACAACTCCCTCTAGCACTTTTTGAAGTCTATACAAAAAAGGCTGCGGCCATCATCATTTTGTGCAACTTGCATTATTTCCATTAAAACATTACATTTCCTTGATTTGCACAAACGCAAAAAGTTCATGCTTTTTCTTGTTGGGAATGCCACACAATACCTTCCATCTCACAGAGTAAGCAGAATGATTTTGTGGTTTTTCCATTGTCATATGCAAGGACAAAAACATAAAGATTTACATCCCTATTCATATAATTTTGTTTTGGTGTTCTCAATGTGCACATGTGCCTGCATCATGTAGGACTAAAATGAAGCAAAAAAATCTTCAAAATCCTTTTCTTAGTACCATGCCAAAATTCCTCATTGGACAATTAAACTGAATACTTGATCAAGATTTACTTCATCACGTCATAGAAACCCTTGATATCTGAACACAAATCTTCTGCTGTACCCTCGCCTTAATGCCTGTGCCTGCATGCAGAATTATCTTTGTATACTTTTATGTGAAGAAGACAGCTGAACAGGCCTCCAGATGTATAGATGACTTCCACTTGAAAGTGCAAACAATTGTATCTAATGTCCCAGCAAGACAGACTGCAATGCCACTCACAACTGGCACAGAAACTCACATGGTTTATTTTGGCTCGTGGCTGAGCCTCTAATCAACAAGCTAATCATGAAGGTTCATTGGACTCTTCCACAATAAGCTCACTCTGCAGCTGTCTGGGGATGCCGATATAGGTGGAGGCATGGGGACTGGTTCACACTCACCCGAAAGACTGTCATTTCTTCCAGCAAAACTTCCTCCAAGTCATGCCAAGTCTCCTTCGGAATAGAGACTACTTTCAAAACTGTCCCAATATCTGGAAGAAAAAGAGAAGAGATCCCCCCCACCAACATACCAAGGTTTAAATAAGAACAGTCCCATATGACATTGAGAAAAGCTTCACATTTTCACCTAACAGGCATCATGTTTCAGAAAAGATTATGCAGTACTGTGTTCTTCAGATTCTGTTCCATAGGACACTCATTTGCCTTTCAAACAATATTGACAGTTCTTAAAAGAGTTTCCAAAAGGGAATTATCCTGACATCTTTTAATTGCAGAACACCAAAAAGTCTGAACCCCTGAACCCATTTAAGCTGTCAGCAAGTGGAGAAGGTTGTGTACGGTTACCAACAAACTGTCAGCTGCCACAAATGTCTGTTTTAGAGCCAGGAATGCACTGGATCAGTAAGGCTACATTTTATGACCCGTTCTCAAGAGTTTCATGGTTGTTTTAAAATACAACGGCAGATGTTACTGTGAGGCTCGGTGGGTGGACACACAGGCAGCTGGAAAGATGCTGTCAAACAGATTATATTGTGAAATACTCTAGGAACTGGCTGACTGTTCCAGTACTGTCCAACTACCCTGTTTCCCCGAAAATAAAACCTAACCTGAAAATAAGCCCTAGTATGATTTTTCAGGATGCTCATAATATAAGCCCTACCTCCAAAATAAGCCCGTTAAGTGAAACCCTGCCCCCCACTGTTGTGCAGCAACCCGAAGATGACATGACAATATTTGAATAAATGTAGATTGTTGTAGATAAAAAAAAATAAAATTAAAACATCCCCTGAAAATAAGCCCTAATGCATTTTTGGGGCAAAAATTTATATAAAACCCCATCTTATTTTCTGGGAAACATGGTAGAACAACCAACACTGAGTTGATCATTTTCAAAGAGGGCCTTCAGATCTTTGCAGTTCCTTAGATGTTTATTGGGCATGGTAGAACAGCTCACCTGAAACACATCTTGCCCAACATGACTGATGACTAACCAGACAGATTCTAAAGCACACCTAAGTGCTTATGCAGCAGAAGACCCACTGAAACATTACTTGCACTGATATAGGTTTGATGGTTTGGGCTCTGTGACTGACATTCAAGAGTTTAGGGAATCCTATCCAGGAATTCAAATACTTCTTTATACCTATGCATTAGGGAAGAGAAGCATGCATGTATTATCTTCCTCCCCTTGCATCACCTGCTTTCATTGATTTTGTTGTTCTGATGGCAGCTATCTCAAGTAGCTAACATCTCCTACTCATGGAAGCTGTCTGTGTGCTATACAAGCCTTGAAAATCAGGCTCTGCACAATGGAGAATGGTTATCCAAGCAGTTGCCATTTTGGATGCCTGCCCTCAATGCAATGAGGATGGGGATGGAACCGGAAAAATTTCATGTGCATCCTTGGTCTTCAGCGATTGTTATTATATTTCAGCACTGAAACAGGGCCTCAGAAAGGAAAGTGATGGGCAAACAGCCTGTTTGCAAACCCCTGCAACAGTAATGGATGATACGCACTGCCTTTAGATAGCAGTTGCCAAACCACTGCCCTTATCATAAACACTTCAGCAATGCTATCTCCTTTGACTTTATGTAAGTTTAAGTTATATAGGTTGTCACTGGCTGGCAGTTCTTAGCGCAGAACTAAGCCCAACATAAGAAATCGTGCTTCAGTCACCTCTTGTGAATGTTCACAACATTCTGTTCCAAAGAATATGGGAAACCAGAAGTTGATGAAGACACTTACAAGAGATCTTAACTGGCAAGTTGATATTTTTGTATGTACTTTTTGTTGTTCCTTTAGAAAGGAAAGTTAAATGCCGAGCCCTTATCGAAATATTTCACCTATTTCTTCAATTCCCTTGCAAAGCTCTCTCTCTCACACACACACCCCCCAATTATTATTTGGAGCTGAAACTGAGGAAGTCTGAGGGCAATTACCAGGAAGCAATGCAACAGTATATATATGGGACACACATACATGCATTCTTTTTGATTTTAGCAATGGTGAGAAAAGTTTTACCACTGAAATTTCTCTTCCTGACACCTTCCATGAATTTCTTCATTTGACAAAAACTCTGGATCTGTATTGTTCGGTTATAAATAAATTTTACTATTTCATTGGCAGAAAGAAATGTAACATGTTCAGATTGCTCCATTTTTCTGGGGAATGTTACAGATTAGCTATAGGTATAACATTATATATAGTTTAAGTGCTTTGCTTCTTTAAATCTGAGTCAAACATAGTGACTGAGCATAGACTTTCAGACATACAGACCCTTCCGCATGTGCTTTTGAGAGAGGTGTAATGAAATCATCAGGAATTTTATAATGTTTGAAATGCATTTTCTTTTCAACCAACTGAATGTTCTCTAGTTGTACAGCAGCTGTCAAAGGTAAAAGAATTCCAGATAATTCCATTTTTGGTGGTGTTGGCCTCACATCCTTGAAGCACCTCTTCTTGGTACCTATCTAGTCTAAATAACCAAAGAGGTTTTTCACAGAAGATGAACCAGAGGCGGTCTGCCCTTTTGACTCTCTGACCTCTACTTCCGCCTACATTTATTATTATCAGTAATACTAGGGTCTGCCTATCAATCTCACTTCCTTTCCTTCCTGTTACTCTAAAGAAGAGACATGTTGCTGCTCTAGGCTCTTTAGTTAGAGTTAGGCTTTAGGCTTTTCTGTCTTGAACGTGACTTTCTTAATAAAGTTTAGTTGTTTGTTTTTCACTGCTTCTCCTGCTTTAGTGGGGGAATGACAGCCCATGTGTTTACAGAGAGCTTACTCTGCTACTGAGAGAAACCTCAATATGTTTCCCCCCCTCTTCTCTCACCCTGTGAACATTCACAAGAGGTGACTGAAGAATGATTTCTTTTGTTGGGCTTAGTTCTGTGCTTTTCATAACAGCTTTACTGCCAGCCAATGACAACCTATATAACTTAAACAAAGTACAGTACATGTGCAGTAAATAGGCAAACCACCCTACCAAACACTGCTGTATACATAATAAGAATATCTTCTCTATTTTATTTTACCGCCTAATTTTTGATATGCATTTTTACTGAGTTTGAAGTCTCCTGCTTTATTTTAACTACTTTTCTCGTACAGTATGCTGTCTAAAGAAATTCAGGTACAGAGTGGCACTGAGTAGCATAAATCAGATGGAGGCAACTTCCAGAGGTCCAGAAACCAAACAAGCCCTTTGAGGTCCAATACCTCTCCATTCTCCCTCAATTGTTATAATTTTTAAAGTGGGTGTAAGAATAATTTTACCAGGTCTTTTTTACATCCCTTGTATGAGGCCCACAGGAGGATTGTTAAAAAAACTGAAAAAAGCCACCCACTTCTGGAATTCTGTGGAGTGATATTTCAAACATTTTTGCACGAACTGAACTTAGCCCTTTTTTCAGACCAGGAGTCATTGCTGAAGAACTGCATTTTATAAGATAAAATTGCTAGTAGTATAACTGAATGTTTACTAACAGATGGACTGAAATGGGGTGAAATGAACCTCCCCTGTCCTCAAATCTAGTTATGAGTCAGAAGGATGTGTTAAAATATATCTTTTAGTCTGTTGGTGAGCAACTGAAGATAACCACTGCTGAAGTGAGAAAGAGAACAATTATTTTAGACATCTATCCACAATCGTACTTGTGGGACTTATTTTCAAGGAGACAGGTGCAGGATGACACTGTCAATGAAAGGTGGCTTAAAGGACTCTCTACCATAAGGATTCTTTTACCCATACAAGTCTCCTGGAAATAAGGTCACTTATTTCAAAACCATAGCATGGACTCTGGACTACACCAAAAAAGGAGATTTTTATTCTTTCACAGTGCAATCTGATACTTGTCTACTCTGAAATATGTCATTTTGTGTTCTGTGGAACCCTGCTCCAAGAGAAATACACATGGTTGTGCCCTTATAGTTTAAACCATTTTTAATATCCTTGTAATATTGTCCCAGGAGTATTATTACAAAGAGTGCTAATGTATTGATGAATCATATGAATGTATACATAAACAGATGCAACCATCTCACTAAAGTGAAAAATAAAAATGAACAAGGGTTACTTTGTAATGCACTGATAGCAAATGCATATATTTGATGATGGAAAGCTGCTTCTCCAAAATATGCAAAATATACACTTTAGACTTGGCAGAATCTCACCTGTTCCAATGAACATGACATCATACTGGCCATCCTCAGCATCCACTCGGTCAACCACAATCTGTGTGAACTGATAATCTAGATCTGTTTTGATCATTATGGGGCGGTTATTGATAGGGAATACTGGGTTGTACATGGCAGGGTGGCTCCTTGCGAAGGTGATGACTTCATCCGGGAGGTCCTTGGTTGAGTCAAAGCCACCAAATGTTTTACTTGGGCACTGGTAGGAAAATAAAAGAGAACATTGTCATAGACTAGTTTCCTCTACTTTTGGGCAGGCAACTGTGGTTTGTTGGAGGAACAATTCTGCCCATTTAGACATGCCATGGGATGCATCCCACATAACCAGATCTGAGAAACCATTTAGTGCAAGCATTGCCTACTTCTGAGAGCTTCTCCCTTGATTTTTCAGCTGTGGGGAGCCATATGGGGCCACCATCTAGATTTGGCCACTCCTAGTCCACTAAGTAGTCCACATTATTGGCATTCATTATTATAGCACACTCCTCATCTGACCTCTCCTTGTTTTATTCACAGTACCAATTTGTAAATGGATTTGCTTTCACACTATTTCTCACTAAATCAATCTCCTTTTTCTAAATCAAGTTGTTTGATATATTTCAAAGAACTGTGTTGCAAAAGCTAGCAGACAGCTACGTTGTGTAAAACACAGGGAAAGCCATATTGGCCACAAGACAAATTCCAAACTCCATTTATTTAATCTTTATTTATTTAAATTATTTATATGAAGCCTTTCACCCCTTAGGGAGCCATGTTGTTGTGATGCCCGATTTCAGGCCAAAGGCACAAACCTCTCCCTGCAGCATTTCAAAATAAAATATATCTTTGATAAGTAAGATGTTACACAGGGAGAGTTATAAAGCTATATAATCTGCATGCTGTGTTAGGATGTAATGGAGAAGAATTTGTGGATGTGTATCAGGGTTTACCCTTCATGTGAATTGCCCCTGGTTTTGCAGGGATCAAGACAGGCCATTAAAATCAAACCTGAATCTCCATTTTGAAAATTCCGTTTGGAAACTGTTTCTGTGTTCTGTAATTTGAGTAAGGCAATACAGGTGATGTCAGCTTCTATATTCAGAATGATCAAATGTCTAAAGTAACCCTATTTCTGTGTGACTCTGGCACTACTGCAGGCTCTCCTCTAGCTCTGCACTACACCCAAGCCATTGAATTCTAGATACAGATGTCAGACGGAGCAAAATTGGCTTTAGGCTGCAGATAATCTTGCCGGCCAGTTAGATTAATGACCATTCCACATAAACCATGGTTTTAGAGAATTCATAGGTAAAACTTCAAAGGGTTCGGTATGAATATACAAAAGCCTAATTAAGGTATCACACTACTGCCTCCTGCTTTCCCTTTAGCACTCATTTTATGCGTAGTAGTAATACTATACTTTATGTTCATAGTGTTTAAGGAGGCAAACATGCCAGCATTTCAGCATCCTCAAGAGCCTGTGCTCCACTACTGTATGCACCACTTCTTGTAAGCTAAAATGTAATTAAACAATAATCCTGATCTTGCAAGATTCTCAGTAGGGGAAACCTCAATTACCATAGCTATCACCCTATTAACAATTCATCAGGGAGGAAGTTAAAACACATACTCCAGTGCCTTGTATGTCATACCAGTGAATCAGTTCTATGCTAGCTAGTTTTGTTCCCTATTGGGTATAAATTTCATTGTGTGCTTTTCCCGCAGCAAAATTTTGCTATCCACTTTTACTAATGTATATCAAAGCCTGGATAACTGCAGATCAAACACAATTAAAAACTATAAACACTGCAAGAGATTCCCTTCTTCTTATCCTTGCTCGCTTTTTTTCTAAATCAATGTCACATTCTAGCAGTTAAATAATACCAACAATTAATAACAATCTCTTTGTAGCCGATAGCAAATTTGTTGAGAATTCCATTTTTTCACATCCCGAAGCCAGTCCCAATTTCCCAGATGGAGTGCAATCCTGATTACTTGCATTAATTAGATAATGATTAATCAGATAATACATGTGAAGTGCTTTGAACAAGAAAAGTAATTTAGAAGTGGTAAGTATTGTTAATGCAGCTGGGGATCCATATACAAAAGCATGTGTGGATAATGTTTGAGTATTCTTTTTTTTTTCATTTAAAAAAACACAAATGGATGATTTGATCATTTTCAAACAGTCAACCACAAAAAAACCACATTTACAAGGAATGAAAGCACCATGAGACTATCCAAAGACTTTATGGACATTTCCCCCCTCTCAAATTCTTACGTTGAATGGTGCATGGTGACCCCTTAGGAAAACTAAGTGCTAAATTGTTTTATAGAATTTATCTTCCATATACTGTATTGATTCCTTGTTTACATTCCTAATTTTTGAAGTTAATATTGTAAAGCTAATGCCAGAGTTTCCTTGAAATTTCTCCACAAGGAAGTGCCCAATTGTTAATCAGTGGTGGGTCAAAAATGGGAAACACATTCCACAAATGTTTCAATTTCCCTTGCCACAAACTCTCCTTCTGACAAATGTTCACACAACTTTGTAAAAAAGTGCAGACTTATTTGGCATGTCTTCCAAACAATAGCTACTTTGTATTGATCAGACATTCAGTGGTCTGGGGAAGGGATGCACCTCACCTCCCCTGCTGGCTGCTTTTACTTTAACCGAGGATAATGAATTGCTTTCAAAATAGATGTTGAATATATTACATCTAGAAGGCCATCTATACATTCAACATTTGTTTACAATATACTCAGTGGTCTGGGGAAGGGATGCACCTCACGTCCCCTGCTGGCTGCTTTTAACCCAGGATAATGAATTGCTTTCATAATAGATGTTGAATATAGTACGTCTAGAAGGCCATCTATAGATTCAACATTTGTTTACAATGTATGTTATCTACATGTTGCACCTATATAGAGTGAATTTATTTTTTGCAACCTACAGTTGCTGTTCAGGCTGAAATCCTATTGTACAGCTCTGCATGCATGGCAGTGATGATGTCAACAATAACAGCAAATCACCACTGATTAAAGGCTTCATTTGGGGTGCAAGTGAATTTGTCCCATTGCATATGAGTCATATGCACCTCAAAATTTTATTTAATCAGTGTTCAATTTGCTTTTACTCAGTGGAGGTGATGGTGATGTCACCCCACTACACATATGTGGCTATGCAATGGGACTCCGGCCTCAAAACAAGAGGGTTTTTAGTCCCTGTCTCCCATGATTTTGGAGAATTTTGCTGGGGAATTAAAAATGCTAATTGTCCCATATTTTTGTAGTGACATCACAGGTTCCCTCCCTTATCTCCCACCTTTAGCTAGAGCTCGTTTGTTCTATTAACCTTTCAAGAGAACAACTTACTGATGCCTTGTCTACCACAGATAGCTGCTGAAGGAGTGTAGGGGCTTTGGCAATGTATTTCTTAAGAAGCAAAAGATTTAAAGGTATAGACAGCCATGATTATTATTTCAGTTGGAAAGTTACATCAGTCTAATTTTGATGCTGTTAATGAGGGTTTCTCCCCCCCTTGAGTGACTCTTTAAGGGTTGTTCGTATAAACAGAAGATTAGTACATCTCAAATAAATGCCTGCTAGTCTTTTGACATCATCTTTGGGGGTGTCATTCCCAAGATTGCTAAGCCACATGGGTGTTGTAGTGTAGAGAAAAACCTCCTAGCATCATGTGGCTCTTCTTCCTCTTCCTCATCATCACAGAGAGCTTGCCATAGAGGCCTTTCCTTAGACCAGTCAGAGGGCTTGATTAATTGCCTTTCCCCAGACCAACCCTGATGTAACCACTGTCCTATCTGACGTAACCATTGTCCTATCTGGACCCTGTCTATTATCTGTAATGCTGTCACTGCCTGTGACCTTGTAATGTTGATAAAAGGACAGTCTCCTGGGGGCAGGGCGCCAGAAGACTTCTCATTCTGCTTCCTTGCCAGCAGGAGTACTGCAGGCAGACATCCATCTCTCTGTGTGGCTGACTTCCTTAATCTATTGCTAAGAGACTCTTTGCTATCCTATTATCTGATGATCACCACAAAGCCCATCAGCCTGCTCGTTGCCTAAACCCAACAATCATCTGACTGTCCAATGAGTTGCACTTACAGTTCCCGGCCGTGGGTAGGGTACTCTTCCTTGGTAAGGAACCCATTGATAATTTGGGCCATCTCTGTGAGCATATGGACCAAGGAACACACGCCTCACATCGGTCATGCTATACATACACACAGCGGAGCCTTTGAAGATGTTGCTAATAATGGGGAAAAGCAAGAAGGGAATAAGTCATTAAACATTAGAGTATTTTAGAAACACTAGGTTTTTGTTTCTTACTGTGTGCTTTATAATATATTTATCTTGATACAACAGGTTGCCTAACAAATTCAGAACCAAATGTCTGAAAATGTGATGGAATGCAAGTATTTCTTATAGGCAGAGTATTATATTTCACTTCATTTCTCTTTCCCTCTACTCCCCATGATCTCCATTTTTTTTTTCTTTAAGCCTCTTTCCATTTTGCTGGGTTTTTCTTTCTTTTCCTTTGGTGGTATCGACTCTATGTTTCTTCCACACTACTCCAGGTAAATATAGATCCCAAGCACATTTATTGGGGAAGGATCGAGTTCCCAGCTTAAAGTTGTTGGGGAAGGCAAGCAATTTCTGTTCAAGAAGTCAGACTCAATAAGGACTTGCAAAGCCATTACAAAATATGAACAATGCTAGAAAAAAGGGCTAAATGTGGAAACATAGGAATAGTCTTTCCTACGTTTCAAAGAGATTATGTCCCTTCCTCACAAGAAGACTCCCATTCATTAACCTCTTGCGTTTACTGGATTCAGGCAGTTCAAAGGTTAAAGAAATGCCTTATTTTTTAAAGTACCATCTTAACAAAGAAAGCTTTCAAGAACAGTCAGGCTGTATAAACTTCCATATAAGTAAAATGATATGTTTCTATACCTGGAAGTTGTAAACACTCCGTAGATTATTGGATTTTTAGGGTCTTTTGAGTTCATTAGAAACACATCCTCTGTCAAACAAGAAAGAGAAGAAGTAAATAAAGAAAGAGAAGTCGGTAATTATTGTTCAGCTGGTCAGAAAATGATTTTTCATTTACAAACAAATCAGCCACTTACGGAGTTCATCAAAATGTGTATCGATACCATTTGGCCCTGGCACAGAACACATGAGACGTGCTTTGAGAAAAGTGGTCCATTTGTTGACAAGGCTTCTGTGGCCACCAAAGTCATTCTATAAAAGAGTGAATGTGAGTCCATCAAAATAATACATATTTAAACATAATGTAAGGCTATCAGGTCTGGAAGTGGACCTCAGCTGTTGCTGGAGAAGTTAAAGAGACCATCAAAATAATACATATTTAAACATAATATGAGGCATCTCACTCTTGGCTATCAGGTCAGGAAGTGGACCTCAGGTATTGCTGGAGAAGTTAAAGAGGAAGACTGAACCCAGTAGGCTAGGAATCAACCCATGAATAGAGATGGGCACGAAGTATTTCATGTCCCTTCATCATAAGTTATCTGCTGCCGTGCATTCCACCCCACAACAGCTGGGTCACCCACTGACCTGCTGACATGTGCTGCACCTTCCTTCCCTGTCATGTGATCTTCCAGTTCAAGTAGGAGTCTGGACTTCCCTTGTCTGCCTCCTGTAGCAGCTGGATGCTGAAAGGCAGGAATCCCTGCCCCGCCTCCTCAACTGAATGGCCAGCTGCTGGAGGAGGCAGAAAAGGAAGTCTGGCCTCCTGCCCAGACTGGAAGATCATGTGATAGGGAGGGAAGGAGCAGGTCACTTATGGAATCAGACATAAAAGTTATTGGTGGGACAAAGTACAATGGGGATATAGCACCACACAAGCCATTTAGTGAGGAAACAAGATACTGGTCCTTCATTAGACACTTTGTTTATTTAATACTTGCACTACATGATGTGATGTGAGCCTGGTTTTGAAGTTAACACAAATGTGTGGGTAGCTGTGTTGTCAGCTAGAAAAAAAATTAAAGATCTACAGTAGAATAATATCTTTATAACCCATTAAAATGTTTCCAAATGAAAGTATATTTTAAAGTTATTTATTTATTAGATGTTTATACTGTCCCATTAGTATGCAGCACTATTTTGGATGGTTTACAGCATGATAATAAAACACAACAGCAATGAAATTAAAATAAAACCAACCAACAATAAAATCAGATGCAACAAGAGATGTGATAAAAATCAGGCAGGATTGCATTGGAGGACTTCTCTGTAAAGCAATGACTTCAGAAGCCTTAATAACAGCCCTTATTAAGATATCCTTAACAAGTTGATGTTAACCAGCTGTTAACCCCTAACAAACCCCTAGCCTGTTTTGCATAATGTTCTAAATAATTGTATCAGCTCCCTTCACCTTTAGCGTTAATTTGGTTTAAATGTTTTTAGCCAGAATCCTATTACTTTTTACAATGTGCCTAAGCAAATTCACAGAAGTTATTGTGGCTGACTGTAGGACACATGCCAGGGGCACAACAAGACACATGAGTATGCAGAAAACCAATGTGTGGTGGGCACCTTGTCAGTTAGCCACAGCAGCTGTTCTACCATTTCCTTTCCACAAATGATGAAAAGCAACAAGCCTTTGAATTCTGGTTCTTTGCATTACATTTTAAGGTAAAATAGGCATTTTACTAAATTCCCCATTCAGCTCCCAGATGTGTGGATCCATGCTGACCAAACTAGTTGGTTTGGAGTGTGAAATTGCCATTATAGTGTCACTGAGAGCCTCGTGGTGCAGTGGTTAAGCTGCTGTACTGCAGTCAAAACTGTGCTGACGACCTGGGGTTCAATCCCAGGTAGCCGGCTCAAGGTTGACTCAGCCCTCTATCCTTCCGAGGTCAATAAAATAAGTACCCAGCTCGCTTGGGGGGGGAGGGGCAATGTGTAGCCTGCATAATTAACTTGTAAACCGCCCAGAGAGTGCTTGAAGCACTATGGGGTGGTATAGAAGCAGCACGCTTTATATAAGCAGCATGCTTTGAGTTAGTGATGGGGCAGTATATAAGCAGCACGCTTTGAGTTAGTATCTCTGCCCTGGGAATCAAAGGAGAGGCTGTGATTGGCTCCACACAATTAACACTTTTTACACTTAGCTTCCGCTGCCATGAGATTCAGACTTTTCTACTAACGTGGAAAGGTATCTCAAAGGCAAAGAGAGTGTATCTGAAACAATCCTACTGTTCTAGAATTGCTGAGTACCTGAAAGACTGAGAGGAATATACATCTGAAAGGGGAAATCGTTCTTTATAAGAAGGCTGTTGTGAGTGTATTCATGCCCATGTTATTTCACCACATGTCATCCCATTTTTACCTTACATATCTGCCCAATTCTGGCATGTGTAGCTTTTCCAGAATGTTCCCCATCAATTGCATTTTCCCGGAAGAAAAAGTAGATCTTATCGTCTTCTGGATTGTCACTTTCTGGGATCAGATGAGCGCTAACAAACCTAGGATCTGGGGATTAAAAAAAATGTAATTATTCATTCCATTAATATCAGAAAATGAGTTAATATAGCACTGAGATATCTGTCCGTCTGTCTATCTATCTCTTGATAGTATATGTACCTTTGCTTCACTTTTTGAATTATTTCGGTTGAGGATTTTCTCAGCACTTGGTGACCAATTTTTCCACTCCTTCCTCTGAAAGTGCTGAAGTTTTCTAGGCCTTGTCCTTCGGCCGCCATCGTCTTAATTATCACCCAGCTCCTTATTTTTGTGCAGATATGCTTTAGCTGTGATCAGTTACCATGATCTGGACAAAGGACTGGGTTAAATTTTGACTGGAAGTTGAAGAAATTTAATGCAATAAAGGAATTGCTAACACATTTATAGTTCTATGAACTCATTATTTTAAAATGTGAATAAATTTGTACCCATGACAAGTAGTACAGGCACAGAAAACGGAAGAAAAGAAAATAATGGGAAGTTGTATTGAACAAAGTTTTATAAAGCTTAACATGTTTTAGAGTTCTTCCTCAGAGACTCTATGACTATAGATATTATAAAGCACAACACTTGATAATGTGAGTTGCCAACAAAATTTGTGACAAAATGTTTTGAATAAAATAAAGCAAAGTCAACTTTGTTGTCATTTAGATATACTATTTAAAAACTAAAATGTAATGGAAAAATCAGAACTGATTATCTAATCAACATAAACTGCAAGAAAATAAATTATGAAAATAAACAATTAAGTTGTGAAAAATTATTAGTATAATCCTATACTTGCTTATCTTGGAGGAAGCCCCACTGAACTCAGTAGGACCCCATTTTGGGTAAATTCTTAGGCATCCTTCAGTCTCGAGAGACTATGGTAACGTGCTCTGTATGGAGGACTTGGAACAGCGTCTAGCGTGGTTGAAAAGGCCAATTCGAGAGTGACAATCCCTTCCACACTGAATACAAATACAATCTGTACCCTGTCCAGCTCCCTGATTTTGCTGCTTCTGGGACTGCCTCTTTGTCTCGGCCTGCTGGACAAGTGTCTCTTCAAATTGGGAGAGGCCATGATGCACCGCCTGCCTTCAGGCTGAACGCTCAGATGTCAAAGTTTCCCATCTGTTGAGGTCCATTCCTAAGGCCTTCAGATCCCACTAGCAGATATCTTTGTATTGCAGCTGTGGTCTCCCTCTGGGGCGATTTCCCTGCACTAATTCTCCATACAGGAAATCTTTTGGAATCCAACCATCAGCCATTCTCACAGCATGCCCAAGCCAATGCAGACGTCAATGTTTCAGTAATGTATATATGCTAAAAATTCCAGCTCGTTCTATGACTACTCTATTTGGAACTTTGTCCTGCCAGGTGATACCAAAAATGTGTCAGAGACAATGTATATGGAACGTGTTCAGCTTCCTCTTCTGCCATGCACAAAGGGTCCAGGACTCACTGCAGTACAGGAGTGTGCTCAGGACACAGGGTCTATAGACCTGGAACATGCATAGGATTATTCTTAAGATCCAATCTTGCATCCACTTACCTAAGATGAGGCCCCACAACATTCGAGTACAGGAGTGTGCTCAGGACACAGGCTCTATAGACCTGGAACGTGCATAGGATTATTCTTACGATCCAATCTTGCATCCACTTACTTAAGATGAGGCCCCACAACATTCAATGTGACATACTTTTGAGCAGAAATATGATTGCAATGTTAATCTGGACATGCTGTCTTGCCCCTGTAGTGTTAATGCTCAAATGACACAAATTAACTAGTGATAGTCCCATTTGGGAATACGATCCTGCACCTATATCAGTATTCAATTGACCAGGTCTTTGGCATCTGGATGACCATTGCAGTATACAGATGCATTGTTTTTACCCTTGTATTTGATTGAATAATAAACTTAGAATTGCAGAGCTGGAAGGGACCCTATGGATCATAGAGTCCAGCTTCTGTCAAGGAGGCACAGTGGGGAACTCTCAACCTCTGGCTCTGCAGCTGGATACCTAAAACCTCTGAGCTATCCAGATTTGATTGGATTCATTTCAAGTTGCTAGTGAAATTGTACTTCAAGGAAAAATGGAAAAGAATCTGAGGGAGTTCCTCTTCAGGCAAAATATCCAAGAAATTCTGAGCTAATCCAAAAGACTCACAATATACTTAAGGAAACAATATCATCTGCATACCCTAGGTTACCTCCAGATTCATTTCACAGGAGTCTTGGTAAGACCAGCTACATTATGCATCAATTTAGGATGCTTTACTCTGTTTGTTGTACAATATTTCTGTTTTTGATTATGAAGGATGTTTACCTAACCATAAGAACAAATCCATCTATTTTAAATAAATACAAAATATATTCATGACACCTAGTCATCTGTGCTGATCATTTTATTTCAGTTCCCTACAGTTTCACAACTGCTACATACACTGCAAAAATTAAGAAAAGTGAAACTATAGCTCTATGTGGGCATGTAACCTTGTGGCACAGTGGTTAAACTGCAACACTGCAGCCAAGACTCTGCTCATGACTTGCATTCAGTCCTGACAGGCTCAGGTAGGTGGTTGGAGGTTGGCTCAGCCCTCCATCCTTCTGAGGTCAGTAAACTGAATACTCAGCTAACTAGGGGTTGGGGGGTGGGACAATGTGTAGCCTGCATAATTAGATTATAAACCACCCAGAGAGTTCTTTAAGAAATATGGGGCAGTACATGAGCAGCACATTTTGCTTTTAAATGTATTTTTATAATTTCATTTTAAGCAACTTAACAATGTACACTATTAGTGTCTGTGTTTACAGTGTCTCTGCTAGGATGAAAAGAAAATAAACTTTTTAAAAATCACTTTTCAAAGCATTCAAGTAATATCCCCAATTTATTTCTTATTGCATTCAAACTCTAAAACGCTTCAAAATAGCTGCCATGAAAAGGGAGAACATGTCTGCTCTATAATAGTGCTCTTAAAAACATAAATGACAGGAAGTGATGCAGAGGTATATGTGTTAAAAGGAAAGCTATGCAGGAAAGTAAGGGTTTAATTTGATAAATATTCTTTTTAAAAACCCCGAATATACACATTAAAAGACAAATGCTAAAAACATAAATGACAGGAAGTGATGCAGCGGTTTATGTGTTAAAAGGAAAGCCATGTGGGAAAGTATGGGTTTAATTTAATAAATATTCTTTTTAAAAAAACCCGACTATACACATTAAAAGACAAACACAGCTCTATAAAGTTTTGTAGAACTCTTAGGGGGAGTTCAGATGTCAGCTTATCTGACCTGACAGGGTAAGTTTAGGAAAATATTGAAACTTGCTGCTGCTAGTAATGTGGTGATTTTCTTTAATTCCACTTCCTTCTCCTGTTTGGCAGTTCTCGCAGCTTCCACACAGTGAAAGAGATTACAGTAGGAACCCCCATGTCTGTGGGGGAACCAAGCCTCTCCTCAAGACGCCTTGTATGCATAATTTCTGAAGGTACCTTGCTGAGCATCAGCAAGCTTCTGGAGATGAACAAAATTGAAAGAATGCTTGGTTTGTGCTTCTTGTGATACTCTCAAAGGCGCCAATTAGGTCATTTTAAAAAGAAAGACCAGGTGAAATGCTCTCCCATCCCTAGCAACAAAAAGGCAAAAGCGGTGGTGGTAAAATATAGGAAGGCTACACAAAAGGAAGGTGACATAATCTCATCCCATTCCATAAAGTCCATCCCTAAACTGTGCTGACACAAATATCTTTTTTTGGATCCACTTCCAATACAACAGTACCTAGTTGTGGAATGTAAAGATGATACAGTTTGCCATGGAGCTGATAACTCATTCCCCCTCCATCCCCATCTCCTTTTTAAGAGGGTTGTCCAACAGCAGTTCAGAATGTGTGCAAAGTCAAACTTTTCTCTGAAAAATATTGTGCTTTTTTTCCTGTCGTGGTTCTACTGCAGGTTTGATAATTCAAAATTCACATTACTATTATCTACATTTCTAAGACAAGTTAGGAAGAAGACAGGTTTTTATATGAGTTCATTACTCATTGATTCTCTGCAGTGAGGTTGTAGTTACTTCTATTCTTGCTCTAACTGTGCAAGTAATTCTTTTTGTTGTGTATTACTAACATTTCACTTCACTTTTACCAAAATAGCAGAAAAACACAAGGAAATGCAGGTTCCTTCACTTGGCCTGTTCTGATAATTCACCTTGGTCACATTTATAAAAATACGAAAGACACAAACAAAGAATACTTCCTTTACCACTTAGGATTGATAAAACAATGGCATAAAAACTGAGCAGCTCCTACTATAAATCTCTATAAATGCACTTAAAATAGTGTATGAAAGTAACTAATTTTTATTCATTCCATCTAAGGAAATGAGGTGCTATTTGCTACACTTAACATTATAATTGGAGTCATGTTACTCAGTACCAAAACGTAACTAGTTAAAGGCAACATAATTTGTAATGGTTTACTTTCTAAGCTTTGGTTTCTATTGTGGACAAAGAATCTTCTTTGACACTCACGTACTACAGCCATCAATGACACTACTTCTCAGTGCACCATCTGGTAGTCTATCAATTAATGTGTACATGTTTTTAAAAAGAAAAAAGAAACAAAAATAAAGAAATAAGAGCTAGAAGAGTTGACAAAGCCTTCAGTCTCCACTCTTGAACAATTTGTGTTGAAGTGAATTAAAAATAACAAACTTCAAGGAAAATAACACCAAAACATGATTAGGCATGATCAAAGTAAGATAAAACCACAGTGGTAAACTTTCTCAGTGTTTCCCCATGCCTCTGATCTCAGTGCCAATTCTAAAAATAGAATGAGTTTGCAAGAATCATAGGAAGAGAAGCAAATATGGTTTTTTTAAAGAAATCAATGCATATTTTCTCAACTGCTTTTACAGAAGAAATATTTGTCAAAACTCAAACAGTACTTTTTATAAACTCCATAATTTGTGCCCCACTTCGATTACCAGTTCTTCAAAAATTTCATTGGCAGACTACAATTAAGGAGTC